TATACCACAACAGGCAGAGTCTGAGTTATAACACTGCCCTCTAGTGGTGAGATTTAGAACATCTTGGCTTATTTTGTAAATTGTGTTACTCAAATTCTTTAAATAAACTTTTCTCAAATTTTATGAAAAAATATGATTTGTAGTCGAATTATTGAACTCTAGCAACCATAAATCATAAGCTTAGCAAGCCGCATTAAAGGGTGGTTGTAGTCACACCATGCATGTGTAAGATTTGGGTTGATAAATAGTGACTGTTTCACAACTGAATGTGCTCTCCAAGTGACAAGTATGAATGCAAGACTTGATATAGTCATGATAATAATAATAATCTTTATTGATAAACGTATCCTTAATTGAGATACAATAATACAATAAAGTTAAATGCTGAAAGTTAAAAATAGAAAAATAAAAATAAATAAAAAAACAACAAAAAACAACAAAAACACAAAACAAAGTAAAAACATTATTTTTATGAAGTAGCTGGTAATTTAGATTTAATGTAGTTTTCTCTCATTAATAAGCCTTGGTATACAAATTTGGCTAAATTAATTAACATGTTTTTGTCTTTCGTTTTAAGTATATTTACTAGTTTTTCTTCTTTGTTTTGATTGGTCGGTGTTGATGTCACTAAAAATCAACTTCGATTTTGCATATGATGATCTGCACAAGATTCATAGTCACCTTAGTTAATATGGGACCATATCTTGTACATGCACTGTGAAATGACTACCACTTTTTACTTAAATTCTTACCTTAATTGGTCTAAATTCTCGAAGGAAATCTTTGAGTTCCCCTCCCCTCATGAGTTCTAGTATAATAAACCGTGGTACTTGCAGAAAACATACCCCTACACACTTAACAATGTTAGGATGGTTAAACTTCGTTAAGATCAAGGCTTCCATCAGGAACTCTATCTCGTCTTGCTTTGTACTGTTCTCTGGAAGAGTCTACAATCAAAGCCATCCATAAGTATGCATTTTTTTCCCATCAGCATTTCATTTTTAAATTTGTTTTACATTCAGACCATATAATCTGAAATTGAATCTTAATGTTTTGTCAGCCAAATAAACTTGCTTATCAATATATTATTTGACAAGTAATTGTTTTCATTCGCCATTACCTTCACTGCAACTTTTATTTTTTCACCAGAATCTGGCAGAATAAATGAACCTTCATAAACTTCACCAAATGCACCATGTCCTAAGGCACTGTAAAATAATATATGTTACGTGAGATATTAATAACAACTGTTGTACATATATTTAAACATATCTGTTCATAATCCTTAATCCAATTGTTAAATAACTATAAGCAAATCTAAATAAAAAGTTTATACTAGTTCTGTCAATAGAGGACACACGCATTAGGGATAATTACCACTGTCAGGCTGGGACAAAAGCATGTGGCCATTTTCAAAATTAACTGAACATATAAATACACAATTTTTAAAGTATATATGATTAAAATTTTGAAGATCATTTAAATTCCAAAAGAAAGCCTAGAACTAGCAAGAGGGGCATTGTCAGGGGTCTACGTGAGAATACATACCTAATAAGTTCTAAATGTTCTCGAGGCACTTCGTTGAGATCATCTAACTTGGCTATACCATCACCTAATTCGTAGTTTGGATTGAAATCAATGGCCGCATCCTTTCTTAACTTTGCAAGTTGGTATTCAGTCATATCCTGGAATTTCGTGATTTGCATCTTTTGTCTTTTTTTCTTGTGCATCGCTAGTATCAAATAAGAAAACAACAATATTGCCATTTTTTTTTTTGCTAACAGTTTTATGCATTTTTCTTTGATAAATTGCAAAAAAGGCTGGTGCTTTATTTTGTGAATGAAAACAAAAATGGTTTTTAATTGGATGTTAAACAAATATGTTTTTCTAATGAAATTATAATGATTTACACTAATTTGTTATAAATATGAGATCCTGTAAAATTGAACTGATGTAATCATAGAACACAGTACAGTTCGTGAAATAAATCATAAACCTTTAAAGTGCAATCTTGAAAAATTTACAAAAAGTAGCTATGTTTGTCTTGCAAAATTACATTAGTTCACAGTTAACGTATCTTATAACAATATAAACAAATTGAAAACTATTATTAATACAAAAGAACGTAAATTAATCAAGCATGTGACTAAATATTTAAAACTTTGTTTCATGAAACATGACACATAGACATGTACTTATCATACATAATTGTATATCATCACACTATCTCAGGCTAATTAGCCATTTTAAATTACATTTATCTTAATTTTCTTTAACTTTTATTTTTATTTTTGTTACAGTATCTTTAAAATTTATTATATAACAGCCTAAAATGATTTGTTAACTTTCATTATGGTGTAATAAATGAAATTATTATAATTATTATTATAAGACTATAGAAATATTGGATGAGATGAACTTACTCATTACTAACAGGGATACCATCAATATAAGAACTACGACCAGAAATATGGCACCTGCAGCAATACCTGCAGTCAGAGGGATGGAAAGCAGTTTTGCTTCACCTGGCAGTAAAAAAAAATCAATGTTTTAGTCCATTAATTCAATATTGGTTGAATCCATTAATTTAATCAAAGACCATCTGCAAATAGCATTGTTTGTTGTTTTTTTCAGAGAAAAAATGCACATCAATCCATGACATGACTGAGTCAATTCTTGAGTGATCTGCAACGACTTTGCGGCACAGTAAGACATATGTGCCAGCTACTATACTGATCATTTATTGTGCATGGACATATTAGATGTAACAATGTAACTGGACTGATGACATGGAAGAGGATTATACATACAACTGTAAATTCTTAGAGAAACCGAAAGAAAAGACATTACGTAAGACATTATGCATCTACATTGTATATTAATTCCTCTAATATATTAATATCAAGTATATATTCATTCCGTCTCAGAGAATACAAATATTTGACTTACTGTTAGGAATAATGCAGGATTTTCTGTCATCAGATAAAACTTCATCGCCATGGCATTCAATCACTCTCATGATGAACACAGAGCCATGTCCTATGTTCTGTCCTGCAATCGAGAGTGGAATGATTATCATTTTTTACCATATGTTTGTGAATCTCTGTATAAGATTGTTGCTGATTGGATATGCAATCATCAACTAGCCAATCAGAAAATAATTTATTTTTGCAATGACCAATCAAAATCTAGCTTGTAAAAATGTTATGGTGAACATCTTCTGTTGTTTTATCATTTTGTGGAACAAATAACAATGTTTTTATTCTCCAATAATCATTGTTAATGTTAAAAAAACTCAAGTTATTCTCAAGTTATACACTTACCTGCTTCCTGAGACGAATACACTGCCGATGGATGGATTATCGACGTTCCACCTTGACCGTTGTTATCTAAGGTTTTCCTCATTGCGGCGTATCCACCTATCAGTATTTGAATAAAATAAGTGTGGACGAATTGATCACCAGTCATATAAGGCATCATTTAAATTCCTATTGCATATTCGATTCTCAAAATAGAGAAAAGTAAATTTAACATGTAAGGTTTGAACTGAATTGAAAATTCAATGTTATTTTCTACTATTATGTCAACAGGAAAATGCAAAAAAAAAACTGCCATCACCAAGTATTTGTCATTGTATCTTGCTTGCTGACACCTCACAGGCTAAATGACAAGGTTAATTGTTATCAATATGACTCTTAATATTGTTATAAAATCAACAAAACTGACCGCAGTTATTTTGTTGGTTATTGGGCCTATATGCGATGTAAACATGTGTAAGGTATTATTCATTTACACGACTGTGTCGATTTATGTAATATTTATGCATGGCTTATTTTACTGCTAACCACAACACAGACGTAAGCAAAAAGATTTACTAACCTGAATAACCGCCCCCTCCACCTCCTGAGGAGCATGCCCCACCTCCTCCTCCAAATCCCCCTTGAGTTTTCCATCTCAGCTCCTTGTATGCTAATTCACACCCGTCTCCTCCTTCACCACCTTCAAGCAGAGATTTACCGTCAGGTCCGGCAGGAGTGCTGTCGTTCCATCCACCACCACTACCTGAAGATAGCAAACAGTACCGGTAATATAGTTGTGTGCCATCTGGTGTTCAAAGTGTAAGATTCCACCACGTGATCTACTGTTGTATTAACACACCTCAGGCTACACAAATTCTATACCATATTTTTTATAGGCAGCATATAATACTATATTGGTCTCAATGTGTAAAAGCAATTTGCTATCAGCAAAGATTGAATCACCAGATGTCTTTTATGTTTTGTTCATTTTTTATGTGATTATATTATGTCAATCACAAACTTGGATAAAAAATCTACTTTTTGCATCAAAAATACATCAAACATCCGTGAAAATAGTGATTTTTGAGCAATTTACAATGAATTTCTATCGGTCTTATCAAATATCATCATTTCTTTTCAGGAACATACATGTATGGTAAAAAAATGATGATTTTATTGAGTATTCTGCATGTGAAATAACTATCCAACATGGATTTATAATAACAGTTTTACTGTTTTAAAAACATTTCATCGTGAGTAAAAAACTAATTTTCAACTTCTTACCTGGAACATCATTTGCTGACAGACTAGAGGATAAACCATTTGTTCCATTACCAGGATACATAGCGGTTTTTCCATGAACATCATGTAAAGCAGGAGATTGACTGAATGCCAAACCACCACCCCCTCCCGCTACCAACAATGGTATAGCGTCATAACTGGTGTTGTTTATCTAATAATTGTAATTAATATGAATTAAGTTAACTAACAGTAAGTAATCCATATATTCAGGTTTTTAAACAATGACATTGGTGAACATTTAGCAAATCTAGCTAGTCTGAATTTTAAAAAGATCGAAACGTTTTATTCTGAACACGCACCTGGAAAACAAACGTAGCGCCTCCACCTCCTCCTCCACCTCCAGCTGATCGACCCTGTGGCCCCAAGTCACTTCTTTCTTCATCAGTGACAGTCCCTGTACAATATTCTTTACCTAAGGTAGGCACCTGTTGAAGATTTGGGAAAATTATAAACTTGATTCAACAAACCCTGAAATTGAAACGTATAAAGGATCACCACAACTGCATAGGTGTGGGTTTGATCTGTTTTCTGGTTGGTTGCTGCCTAAATTATGCATGCTACTTTATTTATCAAAGTTCAATGCAACAGCGAGTGATGGTCATGATGGTTCAGGATCCTAATTAGATGATTGTTACAACAGGCTTTTCTCTACAAATCATCATACAGTCTATGTGACAGCAATTAAATGCAAGAATGTTTTTTGCTTCATATAAATTGCCAATTGAATAATAACAATTTACACAATATAGCAGTCAGATGGACTCTATTCACAGTTCAATATCTGAAATTTAAACACAATACTATTTATACGTACAGTTTCACAAGCACTCTGTCCCTCCTGGCCAACCAACAGATATATTTGTTCACCAGTGTTAAAGTGGAAAACTGCCTCCACCATAGCGCCTTTAGATGGACCTGAATTCTCCACCCCACTACCACCACTGGCACCTTCAGCCTTAATGCTTTTGTGAGAAAACAGATTACAAGTCAATTCCCCAATATGGTCAATACTATCGCTCTACTGTATTAGTGCATATTTTAATTTTGCAGTATAATTCTTGTAGGAAAATATAATAGTCAAAATGTAAAACATGTCACCTGTAAAAAGCTGATACGGGAACCGTCCACACCTGAACACCTTTCATAGTGTCATCGTCTTCTAACACAACAACAGAAGTATGAGTGTAGGAATAAGCTGCGTCACATTGCATCTGAGTCGGCCCAGAACGACCTAAATTGTTACATGTGGTGAACGAGAAGTCTGTAATATTACTTGAGACATCGGTAGTAACCGAATGAGTTGAACTCAGTCGAAAGTTCTTTGGAGTTGCTGCATCTTTGGTATGGAAAATATGGTAATTATTAGCATTATATTTAAATGATCGTGATGATTTCCCATCTTGACATTACAAGCTCTGGTTGTCAGACACAGACTGGTGTAATCTCAAATATGACACAATTATCAAAAAACATTAACCTTTTCAACACCAGACTTTCTGGCCCCAAATTTGTCTGCACTTTTTTTTTATATTCGTCACTATTTCTGGAAATGAACCCTAATTTTGGAGCCAACAGCCAAAATTTGAGTCTATTTTCAGTTTTTAACTCAAAAAATTTGAGCTATTTTTGTCCTAATCTTTCGAAGGATAGTGCAGACTATATATAAACAGGGTTGTTTTGTTATGAAAAGAGGAAACTGGTGGTGAAAAGGTTAAATCAGTTTTTAGTAATTATTCTAAAATTTTACAGGAATAACTGTATATAAACTTCATCATGCTCTGGTATAAGAAAAATAATTTTTGTTAATGGCACACTTTTTTTCAAACACTTCTCACTAGGATTGATTATTTTCAGCTAGGGAGTCATAGCGACTTTTGTGATAATTATCAGCTGTAAAAAACCCTAAAGCAATAAAATAACTAACACTTCTTATGGCAAAAACTACAGTTTCATGTAAAAGTCTTCAAAATTGGCTGAAAAACAAATCAAGCGAATCAGACATATATTGATAATACTTCAAAACAATGATTGACGAAGATTATTATTATTAAGTAGTATTAAACAGACCTCAAGATGGGATTAGGTAAAAAAAAGTTATTAAAAGTCATTTTTGTATGTTATGTGCACTACTAAATAGAGCACAATATGGTAAATTGAATTAACTGAAAATTTATACATGTATCTGAGAAACTGGTTTTGTTTGATTTGATTTGATCAACAAAATATAAGTCAATAACAGTTTCCTTACAGTGGTTGCAAATAGGATTCATATGGGTAACTTGCAACTTCCATGGGAGAGGATAATGTTCCAATAACCCTATCAACTTCCCCCAGATGACTGAATCAATCGCAAATATGATTTGTACGGATAATTTACAACTTACGGTACTTTGTATAGTCACAAGGTTGTAATATGAAAACAGACAACAACTTAGCCATAGATAAAAACTCCCCGTATGAATCTTGTTTGTCCCCGCTGTCAAATTTCACTTACCGTATGTACTGGTAGTTGTGTTTATATTTAGATTAGTGGTGACAGGAGGGGCTGTATTTGTTGGCTGTAACGTTGTTGTCATTTCACTTGGCCAGATATCGAAACACTCAGGGCTCAGTGAAACATCATCAATAGCAATATCACCAAGGTAACTCAAGCCCCGGGATCCTTCAAATTCTATTAAGTACCTGAAAGAAATCGACACAGACACTGTTTGTTTCGTCTGCTAATGAAATAAGTGTACGTGCTCCAGGGTTGTCATGTTTATAAGAAATGCTTGCTAATAAACATAAATGAACTAGGCACAAAGTGACTTCTTAAAATATAGCGAAACTATTGTAACCATGCCTAGTGAGAATCTAGATTAAAGAAAAATTGATGGATAGATACAAAGTATCTTATCTTTGCATGGCAAAAGTGAGTATAAAAGTCCTGAAACAATGCAATAATATATCTAAACATTTTGTATGGAAAATAATTATATTAAAAAATTAATTAATTTTTATGTTCCTCAATTAATACTACATTTACTCTGATAATCTCAATAATACCGGTATACATGTAACATGAGTTGTATAAAATACTACAGCAATATATCTAAACAAAATAGGAAAAAATACAGCCAATGTGTTCTTCAACTAATACTACATGTACTGTATTGATCTCAATATAGCATAAATTGTATAAAAGTTCCCAAATAATAGTACAGTAATATATACTGGATATAAGCAAAATCTGGCAACAAAAATACTAGCCAATTTGGCAGGGAAAGTTTTTTATACTACATATTGAAAACAACAACATCAGTTTTACCACAGTTATCTAATTGACAGATCTTAAATAAATATGCTTGAAATATTGTAACCACAAGAAAAGTTTTAAGATGGAGCCAGCAACAACATCGTCAACAGCAACAAGAAAAAAAAACATTTTTCCTTCATATACCTTCATCGATGATGATATGAACAAGCTAATAAATAGACTAGAATAAAAAGTATTAAACAGAAACAAAAATAATGCAATTTGCAGCTAACACATTGCCTATGCCTGCTGCATCCCTCCAAAGATAGCCAAAAAATTATGTGAGAAAGTGATGTGTTAACACTTCACAAATATAAAATTGAATTATTGATATTATTTTAAGTAATTGGAAATGATGTCCATTGTGTAAAAAATGAATAAAATAAAGAAATTATTTAAAAAATATATATGGCATTCAAATTGTTAACCAGCACAGATGATTAAAAAAAAAATTATTTGTACCGATTTGTTACACTTTCAGGCAGAGGAACAACTGCATTGACCCACATATCTGAGTTGATCCAACGTGGTGATTCAAACAGCTGGCCAACTGATTCATCCTGTATCACATAAACCTTCAGTATACCCAGCCTTTGACCATATATGTGATACCAGAAACGTAACTGAAAACCAATGACATGCAGTTATTGCTTAGTTATTAGACAGGCTTTATCATACACACAAAAGACAAAATGTTAAAAAATATGAACCTGACAATCAATTGACAAATATGAATATGGTTACCTGGCAACGCTGATAATATTCTCCACCAAATGTTCTAGTTGCAGGAGGAGGAGGGGGAAAGATTGGACTATGAAACAAAGCTTTATAATTGTTTGCAATCTGAGAAGTCTCAATGTACATGTAATAGCCTGTAAGAAAACAAAACATACTCAAGTTACTGAATTAGTGTTTATTTTTATTTTATACATTACAATATCTATCTCACATCTCTAAGGGCTCCCTAGCCAACAACAAAATAGTATAAAGATTGATCATGTTTCTGCAGATGGTTACATACCTTCTGCTGTTCCCATGGTGTGATCAACACTTGGTCCAGTTTTACTTGTCCGTGTAGGGCCACGATTTCGAGTCCAATTAAACTGATCGCCTTCTAACACGTTGTGCCACCCGCAAGTGCTGTTGTCTTCAAAATTACATCGAGACCCATAAGGAACAAGGGCTTTAGAAGGCAATAAAAAAACAAAATAAGATAACAAAACTTAATCATTGACAGAACTAAGAAAAAGTTATCTGATTCTGTTTATGTTTTAGAGAAGTTAACTTTGATTTTTGTTGATTATCATGCAGTGAAAGATAGATAAAAAAACGCATTAAAAACAAAACACTGATGGCACTATTGCCAGTAAATAAACATTATTATTAATCATTATTCCTGTCCAATTTGTAGTATTAATTATGGTCTGCATAGTTATGAATTATGAATATTTGGAAAATCAGAGATAAGAGTAACATAACAGAAAATGTTGACAAAAATAACTGGATAGCCGGAGTAAAAAAACAAAAAGAAAGGTCCTCTGATTTTTCACATTCTCAGGTTTAGGGGAAGATAATTTATTTTATTCATTATCATACAAACACAATAAAAACAAAATCTTCAATCAGGTTATGGTATTCAACACTGGTGGCGCTCTTGCATTTTATATTCCTGTTTAGATACTACCGGTATTTAGTAGTTCAAAACTGAAATTGTTTTTTATCTATAATTAAAGTACTTTTAATAATTTCAAAGTCAGTAAGATAATGTTTTCACAAAGTAATTCAGAATAACAAACTGCCCTTACATATGGCTTTGAATATAAATAGGTAACTGGAAGAATGTTTTTGTTTAACAGAAACTGATCATTGCAGTCTGAGCAAAGAGCTCAAATTAATATTCATTTTTTCTTTGACATTGACTGAAACATAGACTTTGATAACTTGCATTTTTCCATGGTTTGAATTTCACTGCTAAGCTGAAACAGTAAAATGAAAACCAAGTGAATAATTAATGAGTTTACAGTACTGTGTTACAAGGTCATATTTTATCCATTGGCAGGATGAATAATATAATATTTCATAAGACTTGGGTTCCTTTTACCGGTAGTATCACAATTTCCTTTTGTGTGTGCTATTTCCTTTCTATCTGATATTGCAGTCCTCATTTTTGCAACTCTGTCTTAGATTTAATTCAAGTTCGCAATAAATTTAGAAAAGATAATGCCAAAAAATACTGTTAATGCCTAAAACTATTTTTTTTTATTTTTACAATAATTTCAGCAAATACCCAAAAAAAAACATGCATTGTGTCCCCCGACATTGTTTTATTTTGTACGATGTAATCTTAATTTTATTTTGTGTTGAGCATTTCTATATTTTACTGTGTGCATTTTAATGTGTTTTGTTTTGATTTTGTTCAATAATTCAAATGCATGATAAAAAAACTAATGTGTATTCAGTGTTCTGTTTAAAACTGTATAAATTGTATAAAAGGAGTGTGAATGATCAGGTGTTTGTGGGGGAATGGAAGTGACTGTTGCGGTTCCGTCGTTGTAATAGAAGCTCAGACCTGTTAATCAGCCGGCCTCCTTATGATATTTGAGTTGCAATCTTGGCTACAAAAAAACAACACTGTCAGTTGTTTATGAACCAAAGGCAGCAGAATATTTACATTGATTTTAATTGAGTTGTTTACATTAACTTTTACAGGTAACAGTAGTGACCTCAAGTGAATTTTACGCAAGACAGTGATGACCTCCAAATTCGCAAGTTCTAAAAGACTTTTGAATAAATTCATGTCTCTGTACAGTAAATTAAAATTTTGTAATGGCAACATTTTCTTAATTCATTTTCTTATATTTTACTAATATTTTATTTTTATCTCTTTTGTATTGTATGTTTTTTGTATTTCATTGTATTTATGTTCCTTACCATACAAAAACCCTCTGCAGGTTTTTAGTAGAGTAATAAAGTTATTATTAATTAATTCCTTTATTAATTAATTAATTTATTGATTTTTTAATTTATTGACACAAGATTTTGGAAACAAGACACTGAAACAAGACAATAAAAAAAAGAGATTAAAAGTGAAAGAAAAAAAGTGAAAACAAATTACAAAGTCACATTAACAAATTACAAGATTCATTGCCTATTAAACAAAAATACATAATAATCTAATAATCTATCTATAATTAAACGCTTAATATGAGGTGCTACTGTTTTATTTTAAGGCGATGTTTATTAAATTGTGCAGTATTGATCTGTGTACTACAAAGACTCATTATAGAAATAAATTGACTATGCACTGACTATTTTAACTTACTGAAATTATTAATGTGTTTGGTCACATCTTCACCTCTAGTGACTTTCTTTGTTGTTCATACTTTGAACACGACATTATTAGATGGAATTCATTTTCAAGTTTCAAGGTCACACATTTATTTTTTAACTGGTATTTTTGGTTTCATGTGTCAACCAGATTCAATTTTTGAATTGTGATTCTCTAAAGTAAATTTGTTCACTGTTCACGCAGTTCTACTAGTATATTGTCAATGTCTGTTATGTATTTTTTAAGTTCTAATTTATTTTTAACGTTTCTGTGTCTTCTTAATTTATTTTTCCCTGTTGTCATTATAAATATCTTCTATCCAATGTGACCCAAAGAATTCTTCCAGTTGTAATTTTGGAAACACCTGAAAGATATCCGAGGTAGCTACATGTAGTATGGGACTCTTCAATGGCTGACTTGTGTGAGCATTCATGCATTAATTAACAAGTATCATAAATCACAATTAAAATTAAAATCTTTTTGCCCTTGACATAAACCAATTACATTCACTAATCACCATTGTAGCATTGCCAAAACTAAATACAAATATTTGAAATAATCATACAACAATTCACTCTTTGAAAACCATCCTTCCTCCTGATAATATTTTAGTGCAACTTTCTGCCCGTTTTAATATATTTTTTTATATTTTGAATCAAATACATGTAGACAGATATTCCTATTAAAAAATATATAAAACGAGCAGTTGCTTGGCTGAGATGGCTTCGCTGTTAGCAATGCATATTTCAATTAGAGAATTGAAGATATCATCACAAAATGAACAAGGTGAGATCAGGCCACCTGAGGTCCCTATATGTATAATATCAAAGCAATCAAACTTGCAGTTTTCAATAAGAAGTCGAAAATATTACTTTTTATCAAGAAATGACAATAATATTCGTAAAAATTAGAGACTATCATCATGAAATAAACAAATCTGAGAGAGGTATATCTGAAGTACCTATTTTGTATAATATCACAGCAATAAGACTTTCTGTTTTTAACAAAAAGCTAAAAATATAACTTTTTATCAAAAATAGAGAATTAAAGATGTCATAAAGAAATGAACAAATCAAAGAGAGATCTACCCAAGGTACATATATACATCAAGTAGAATCAAAGCAATCAGACTTGCAGTTATCAAGAAGAATTGGAAAAAATAAAAAGTTGTCACAGACTCTCACGGATAATCAATCACACATGAAAAAGTCAACAGCAGAGCTAAAAATTATGTGGGTTTCAATTTGTGGATTTGGTACTGAAATGGTTTATAAACATCAAACAATATAACGCCATTCAGGTTTTCATTTATCCACAAATACGTATGTCATTGGCATTCAATGCTTGTGCTCAACAAAATGAATGTACCGCAACAGGAAGCACTAACAGGAAATACTGTGACAAACTATTGTATCCTAAGTGGGAGTCGAAAGCAACATATAGAGGTGTGGGGGAGAAACAAGAATATAATGTAATATAAAACTCACAGCAAGCTTCATGTTTTTCATCGTCACCGAATAAGCAGTCATCCTGGTAATCACAAAGTTGATTTGTATTAAAGCAGACGTCATTGCTACTGCACATCATTTCATCTGTAGAACACGTTAATCTTGGTAAAACTGTGAAAAATGGAAAGACGATAAAATCATTACTTGTTGCAGAATCTTCAATCCTCCTTTGAATGGTTTCTATCTTGATGTGAGCCATTTTTATTTATTAAAACAAGTTACTAACAGTCCCATTGTTAAAGGGTTTGCTTTATATAGGATACACCATATATTTTTAAACAAAAATTCATACAAAGTACAAATTAACAAATATAAAAGTGAATTTCTTTTCAGAAATAGAAAAAAATTAAACAAGTCATTGTTAATGACATAGTCCCCAATGGAATTAGTTGAAATGTTATTCATGTCAAAAATAAAGTTACAAACCAAAAGCATAGTTAGTAATTTAGAGTGCATAAATGGCTGTCCTAGTATCAACAGAAATTATATGTATTAAATTACTCTTTCAAAATCGTAATATAAACAGTATATGCTATTCATGCATTTTTTTTTATTAAAAATTGAATTTCATTTGTCAAAAAGCAAGACCCAATTGATCCAATTGTGAAACTATTTGTCATGGACATGTATCCTAACATGTATAATTTGAAGAGAAACAAGTCATCGTTAATGACACAGTCCCCGTCCAACATTTTGTGATCTGACATATCAATTTGATGCTTATGAAGTCATTGAGATTAGATTGAAACCATTAATAGGAGATGGATTTGTAAAAATGACGATTTAGCACTTTTACATGAAAATTGGGCGTCGGCCAGCCATATTGAATTGAATCACAAAAATTATGTTGGTGCGGATGTATCTCTTGGTATATTATCTTTGTACAAAATTTAAAACAGAAACGTTCATTGCATTCAAGATAAAGTAGCATGGGTACCATGAAAAACAAGATGGCTGCCAGTCGGCCATATCTGTTTGAATCACGAAAAAAAAAATGACGTGCACCTACAACCCAATATGTATGATAATCATACCAACTTTGATACAAATCGGCTCATTCATCTCCGAGAAACTGCCGCGGACACATTTAGGTAGCAAATTTTACAACCAAAATGACGCCAGTCGGCCATTTTTGCTCTGATGATAAAGTAACTTGACGCGCATATGTAAGACATTACGCATTGTCGGCATGTAAAGTTTGAATAATATACGTCAATGGGTGTCCGAGATATAGCTCCGGAAGTATGGACGAACGGAACGAACCCAAATTAATACTCCCCGTTTTCGGACTTCGTCAGAACGGGGACTAAAAAAACATGTCACCGATACATTTTGAAAAATCAAGATGGCTACCAGTTGGTAATTTCAGATTTGAAGACAAAACGAATCATCATGGACATGCATCTCAACATACATAATGTTTGTATCAAATTTGGACAAAAACCAACAAATCCTGTCCAAGAAACTACATTTTCCAAAATACAAGATTGATGCCAATTGGCTATCTTTGATCTGATTATGGAACGAACTGACATGAAAATGTATTCCTATATTCATAATGTATGTACCAAACATGAATGAAAATGGTCCAAAATCCAGCAAGATGACCACCAGTTGGCCCTCTTTGATCTGATTATGGAAAAAACTGACATGGACATGTATTCCAGCATGTATGATGTATGTGCCAAATGTGAACAAGCAGCCTCTCGGCTGAGATAGCTCCGCTGTTAGCAATGCACATTTCAATTAAAGAAATGAAAATATCATTGGAAAATGAACAAATCTGAGAGAGGTACACATGTAGTACCTATACTGGTATATATAATATCAAAGCAATCAGACTTGCGGTTTTCAACAGGAAATTGAAAATATCAATTTTTACCAAAAATTACAAAAATTAGAGAATTGAAGTTATCCTTACAAAATCAATAAATCTTGGATAGTATACAATGGATTGTATAATATCAAAGCAATCGGACTTGCGGCTTTTGACAATAAGTCGAAAATATCACTTTTTACTAAAACTGACAGAAATATTCATCAAAATTAGAGATATCATCACAAAATGAACAATTCTAAGATAGATTATTATAACAAAGGTACATATACACCAAGTATCAAAGCAATAAGAATTGTAGTTTTCAAGACAAAGTTGAAAAAATAAAGCGTTGACACAGATGACGGACAACCACTCAATGACATATGATAAGCTCCACTCGATAAAGTCGACAACGGAGCTAATAAAAAATGGCTGCCAGTCAGCCATCTTAGATTGAATTAGTAAATCACTGCATGTGCATTTGTCCCAGATAAAGTACAAGGCACATGCAAAGAATGAACAGATTTGGTCCACGGGGTTGTGAAACAGGACTCTTGATGGACGGACTGGGACTGAATTATAAGTCCTCATTTCGAACTTTGTTCTAACAGGGACTAATAATACAAAGTTTTATTAACAAGGTATTCAGTTTTAACTGTATTTTTATGATTAATAAATTTTACATAAATAGTAAAGAAAACGTCTTTTGGTAGATTAGTGCACCATTATAATACAACATTTTGAATGTGTTTTTGACAACTGAAGTAAATGACAAATTGTTTTTAATTACAAATTTACCCTCCACCAGTTAACATATCCAAGGGAAGCATTTGAATGATGGTTGTGTTTCATGAATGGCATATTTTGACTTTTTGAAGCAGTAAAGATCTTAACACAGAATGGAAAATCAATGCAATACGTGGTACAGATAACACAATATATCGGTTCAGTAGAAATGGAAACTATCATTAAAATTTAATGACATATATCAGGTCGTGACAGTGTTTAATTACTTTATTATTATTTTAAAGATCACATCAATGAGAAGCAGCCATGCAGAAATAATAGAGTAATTCCCTTGTTACTGATAACATCCGCCTCAGCGAGCATCGACTCGACTCGCCACAGGGGAGGCATGACCTTTTCATAAGAAACAACCCACTCCAAATCAATGTTATCGTCAATAGTTGATACAACTACTATACACTTCTACATCAATTTGGTGCTGTATCCATGACAACACCCAATAGATACATGCAATTATGATACATTTTTTTTTCCAACAGTATATTCTATTATATTTCTTAATATGCTGACATTTAGACCGTTATTATAGGAATATAATAAATTAATTGTAATCATTGTTCCTTGCAATACACACGGCTGCGCAATTAGTTTAATTCCCATTATATCCGGTCTTCCGGGACACATAGAATTTTATAATCATAGTTACAATGTTCAATAGATTCCTTAATTTAAAAACTTGTTGCGTCCCCAAAGCATCGCTATAAACTGACGTAGGTTGATATATAGTTCAAGTCAATCTACAAGTATGATATCATAATCCCCATATACCCACTAATCCTAGCTAGGATAATACACCTATGGTGATATATAGACCTATTAATTCCAGATTAAACCATGTCACGTTCTAAACTATTTATAGTGAAAAAGACAAATGATATATCATCTCAATTATATTTGCAGTCAAGGCAATTATTCTCCATAGATATCTTGAACCTGAGTGTGATTCTATGAGTTTTTAATTAAAGGCTTAGACTAAATAAATGCAGTGACGTACATACTACAAGAGTTTTTTGAATATGAAATCACAGGGATACAAATACGCACTATAAAATTATGACATCTCAATGGTATAAGTGCATTTTTAATGCTAAATGGAATAACCATAAAGCGTAAATTTACTCAAGATAAACATGATGAATCTTCAACAGATATAGCAGAGTATAGCATTACAGGAAACATGATAGTAGAAGATGAACTGCACTTTAAATATTTTGTTATATGTATAAATTAGAACGCTGATACAAATTAGTTGGTTGATTGTTAAAAGATGTATATTTTCACAAGAAGCATAGAATTTGGCCCAAGAAATTGACACTCTTGATGACTTCAAATGACGATGACAGATCATGTCATACTAAAAAATGAAAATGTGTAAAGTTTACTATATCCAATAATAATCTGACTTTTGTTTTTAATATTCAGTTGTTACAACTTATCTTTATTGCTTATAACTGATAGAAACATTGTATTTCTCAGGATGCAGTCAGTTTTATTATTATTATAATAATATTTCTGAAAATGCAACTCACGATTGTTCACAGTGAATTATAATGATAGTTAAATTACAAATATTACGCAAAATTAAAAAAAAAAGTCTTATGAATAGAAAAATTCAAGTCAAATCAAATATTTGAACTATATGATTGTGTAAGTCTTACCATGTTAGTGAAAATACCTCCCATGATGCATTGCCATTCCCCCCCCAGTGAAGTAACTGACTTTTTGCAGTCTGTTACTCCTCACTTTAATACATTATATTTGATTATGGTACCAGCACAATATCAGGCTTTGTGAAGTTTTAGCAGTAATTTTGAGTTCATTTTGTAAATGTAAACATAATTCCGTTGATGTATAATATAATATTTTACCACATTTTGTAATGTAAATTGATTTGTGAGCGGAATTAATAAAGTCCGTATGTTATATAGTACCGGTATATCTGTAAACTAAACAAAAATATAAACCATGCAGACAGTTTCATAACAATATAAGGTTATATATCATTTGTTTTTTTTCCCATGTACTGTTAGAATATAGTGATCTTACCTGGGGAGCAATATTGGAATGACACAGAATCTAAAGCGATATAACCTTCTGTACCATCCTGTTTAAAAACAGTGCCCTCAAACACGATACTAAATGGTTCAGAGATTCTTCCAAGTCTGATCAGTTTCTCTTGCCAGCTGTAAACAAAAAGTGATAGAAAATTATTATATATATATAAAGTATTATGCTACAAAATGAAATAAATATCTGAGAAATGATACATATTGTACAACACTATCTTCTCTGCACGTGGTATCATCACTGCCATAATTTGAACATGATTATATCGCAATTTTTATTTTTTTTAATGGGCCATCCAGGAGCAGTTGAACACAGGCAAACGTTCCCATAATGAGTCTTTGCCACACACACCCAGGGTCTCGGGTCAACCATTTTTGGTTTTCAACCCAATTAAGATTTTAACTCAGGTTCATCGATCATGAGTCCAATGTGCAACAACCACTATTACGCAATCTAAATATGATCTTTCTTTTACGGTAGAATGCTACATATAGATGTATTAGTATTAAAGTATGTAAACTTCTTTTGATTTAATGTCAATCTGTTTTTTGAGAAAAACAGTAAAAAACAAAACAAGTCATTGTCAATGACACGTCCCCGTTCCGTTCATATTTGAGTGACATATACATTCAAAGCAGATCATGACCGAAATGCACCTGCATATATACAACACATTGTACTAAATCTAAACAAAATCCATCCATGCATGACTGAGATCTGGTTCCGGAATTGTGAAAATACGTGATTTTAATGCATTTTCTGTCTTACAATGGCCATCATTCAGCTATTGTTAAGCGGATCATGAAACAAATGCACATATCTATTTTTGACATGATGTACCATGTGTGTGTGAAGTTTGAACTTGATCAATCCAGACATGTCTGGGATACGGATCCAGAACTGAATTCTTTAAGAAAATGGCCGCCAGTCGGCCATTTCGAACTTGATCCGGGAAAAAAAATGACGTGCATCAAGGTCCTATTATGTTTAATGTAAGTACCAAATTTGAACGAAATCCGTCCATGCATAACTGAGATCCGGGTTCGGAATGG